TCCGCGGGGGAGCGGCACACTGCCGGCCGGCTCTCTCGGGGGCTGCACAGGTGTTCCTTCAGATAGATGTTCCCCTTAGATGTTCCTGGTGCATGTTGTCTCTCTCCTCCTTTATAGTCCTCTTCCGCCAATCCCAACTCTGCTACCCACATGCCGAGTACGCTGCTCTCCTCCAATCAGGAGTAAGTCCTACAGTTTATTGGTTGAACTGGAGGCAGCTGTGTAGAAGCTGTTTTCTCCTCTCCCAGCGCCATATTGTGGGAGAGCAGATGCATAGAATAAGTCTTAATTCCAGTAACTTAGTCTAGTCCGGGTTGCTCCCCACATTACCATGGCCTGATTGTTTGTGTCCCCCCTCACCCCGAATTTTTATGTTGAATCCTATCCCCCAAGATGATGGTGTTAGGAAGTGGAACATTTCAGAGGTGATTAGGTCATGAGGGCTGATCACTCATGGACAGGATTAGTGTCCTTCTAAAGAGGCCTGAGAGATCCTCTCACACATCTACCAGGTGGGGATAGAGCAATAAAGTAGCCATCTGCAGCCCAGGAAGAGGACCCTTACCATTTACCCAATCTTCCAGGGCTTTGATGTTGGACTTCTCAACCTCTAGGTTTATGAGATACAAATTTCTGTTCTTTATAAGCTGTTGGTCTGGGGTGTCTTACTACTGTGAATGGTTTGAGGTAGCATTCCTGTCCCCATTCACGTATGTTAGTGTACATGACTCTGAGGATGTATGAGGCTGCTTCAAAGAGCTAATGTAAAGATGGAATTAAAAGATGGTGAGCATTTTCCATGAGCTTTTTTTCCGAGAAAATTCATATCCTTAGGTGCTATTAGTGTCTCCCTCCACCCCCAAATTTCTCTTATCATGAAGTAGGGGAGACTCAAAATGTTTCCTAAAGCCCAGAAGTCCGTGCTAGGTGCATGCAGCCATGTTGTGGCCCAAGTAGGCATGTAGCTGAAATTCATTTACACATAAAGATAAATAGTTGAGTACTTTGGATAGTTTTCATTTGTTTTATAGATATGTCATATAATTAAATTTTGCCATTTCTTTTGTGATTCCAATGCTTAGAGTAATTTGTACCAACTACTTAAATACTTAAATATCCTTCCCTTGGCTACCAGGCCTATGGGGTAGCCCAGTGCTTCCTCACTTGAGGTCTTAGAATCTCCCTGACAAAGGCCTGGGAACACCTGAGTTGGAGGTGGCCTCCAGTTCAGTGCAGTTTCCATTTCACTTGCCAATAAAAGCCTGCAAGGAGTCCCTGCGGCCTCGCAGAATCCTTTAGGAGATGGTGGTCCAGAGTGTAGCCTCTGCCTAAAATCTCACCAGCTCAGGATTGACCTTCTGTCATTAGCATCTCTGATGTGTCTGTGCGCAGGGAATGGGCAGGATGGAAGGGACATGGCAGTTGCTAGGATTTGAAGTGCCAAGAAGAGAAGAAGAATGGTCAGAGTTGTCATGTTCCTTTGGAGTAGCTCTGTTTTCTGTCTATAAAATAGCTGAGGGACAGGTTCTGGAATAGCACTTAAGTTACTGTTTGGGGGTCTGCATCCTATGTTACATGCCTAGACTCAAGTCTTGGCTCAAATAGTTGGATTTCTTCAACCTGCATGGAAGACCCAGATGGTGTTCCCAACTTGCAGCTTCACCCTGACCTAGCCCAGGCTAATGTAGGCATTTGTGGAGTGAACCAGTGTATGGGAGTGCCTTCTCTTTGTCTTTCAAATAAATCAAATTAATTAAATAAAAATTGAGAAAATAAAGGAAAGAAGATAGGCGAATCCCATTTCCCTTCTCCTTCCTGGGGAAGTGGTGGGAGGTAGTAGAGTTAGGAAGGATAATCAGGACATCAGTGGCATCAGTGGACTCATAGTCTGAACTCTCATGGTCAGAGCTAGACAATAGTTCCCCTGAGATTTAACTCTCCTTTAGGAGATCTGCGGAGAAGTCATGAGAATGCTGTGAGGAAGGGCAACTTTCAGATAGAGGTGCTTCCTGCCTGACCTTCAGAACCTGCAGGTCCTGTGGTCCTCATACTCTCTCCAATAAAACTGTGGCCTCGATTGCATCACAGGCTCAACTTCAGGTTCAGCCACTAAAGGGTGTAATTGTCCTCCCGTGTATCCTGTGAGCGTAATGAAAGCCTTCTCAAGTACTGTGTGAGGTGAGGGTGAAGAGAATTCAGCGATACTGATGTGGGTGCTTGAGCTCATTGATTCTATCCCCAAGCTTGTTTGACACTTGATGACTTTCTGGGTGAACTCAATTTATGGGAGAGGATAATCTCTTTGTCATTCTTGTCCTCTCCTCTCTGTGTCACCAGGCACTTCCAAGTCACACTGCACTAGCCCTTAGCCTACCTGATGGCTTCATTTATGTGCAAAATATCAAGCTATCCACTTTTCACATGACAAGCCTGAAAGAAGGCCCAACTTTATCAATCCAAAATAAAAGAAACCCACCAAAACTAAAATACACATATTAGTTAAGGAAGGAAAACTGAACTGATAAGACCAGATGGCAAGCAACTGCTAGTGTAAACCTGTTAGCATTACACATGGTGAGAGGACCATGTCTTCAAACTCAACCTCTTCATTTTATAGACAAGAAGAGTGGAGAACAAAGTTGAAAGGCTGGTTGGTTCCAAGCAGAGAAGGGAACTCATGTATTCTTGTTATAGGTTCTTCTCTGTTCAGTGGGATACTCTGCTTTCCAACTAGCAGCTGTGTCTTTTCATTGTTAAACCACAGAACACAAAGAAATGTTTTCTGCTGGCTGCTTGGAAACACTCTGTGTCCCCAATAATCAAGAGACTCTAATCTCTGGTTAGAAAGGGCTTTGGAAAACATCTGTTAGGACCACCCCTCCCATCCGGTATTGGACTTCTCCCCCACTAGAATCTGCCAAGGTATTGTGTAATCTCTGCTAGAACATCTCCCAGCCTGGGAAATCATTAGCTATGTCCACAATTGTGTACTAATGCATGCAGCTAGACTTGGGACATTGTTCATCATATCACTCTCAGCTACCTCTTTCCAATTCCTAGCTTTGCCCTGACCCAGCTGGTAGGAGCTAGAAAAGGTCTGATCTTTTTCCCACATGTCTCCACCTCCATCCTAGGCCTTTACCTCTCAGATTCCTTTGACAAGTTCCTGACTCTGAGTAGGCAGGGCAGGGTGCAAATTGACAAAACATCCTTGGAGACTTGGAGGTCTAGCAAAGACTATGTTCTGTGTGGTCTCTTGGTGCTCTGAGTGGAAAATACATTTAGAAAGAAATACAATATTAAGGAATTTGAATTGATCACATGTAAAAATAAAAGTCTTTGTTTTTCTGTTTCAATAACTATTTAACCTTCCTGAATCCAAATTCCCTCATCTACACAAGGACGATAAAATAACTTATGGGGCTGGCAGAGAGAATGCCTGCAAAGCATTCAGTGAGTGCCTACAGAGAGCGGTTCTCAGTCCTCTCCTGATTGTTACCTGTCACCTCTCCTGGGCTCCCCTCACATCCTTACACCTCTCCTCCCCCTGCAGAGCCAGAGTTCACTATTTCTTCACAACTCTTCCAGCTGCTGCCATTAACACTGCTCTTCCTTTCCTCTGCATTTCCATTCCAAATTAGCATCAAAGCTACCCCTAGATTGAATGTTTGTGTCCCCAGAATTCATATATTGAAATCTAAGCCCCACTGTGATGGTGTTTGAGGGAGGACTGGATGTTGATTGATCATGAGGGCAGATTGTCTCATGCATGCAATCAGTGCATTTGTACAAAATGAATCCAGAGAGCTCCTCTGCCCTTCCGCCATGTAAGACCACAGTGAGGAGTCAGCCATCTACAGACCAAGAGGAGCACCTCACCAGATACTGCACCTGCTGGTGCCTCCATGTGGTACTGCTCGGCTTACAGAACTGTGAGAAATAAATGACGGCTGTTCATAAGCCACCCAGTCTGTGCTGTTCTGTTTAGCAGACTAACAAAGAGACTCTCCAGCTGTCCTGTGCTTGTTTCCTAACTCACTCTTGCCTCCTCTGCTTCCCACTCTTAACCTTGCCTCACTATAATATACAGTCTGTTCTCATCTGACAGAATAACTCATTTATAATCAGACTAGGCCATGCCACGCCTCAAAACCTTCCTGTGGCTTTCGATTGCAATCAGACTAAAAACAGAATCTCCTCAAAATAGCCTCAGCACTCACACTGCCTCACCTCCATTATTTCTCCGAGTTCCTTCCTTTGCTATCTTCCCTCCCTTGCTCCCTGTGCTCTGTCCACTCTGGTCCCCTTGCTAATCCCGAGCCAGCCTGGGAGACTCCCAGCTCTATTGTTCACTTTGTCTGGAATGATCCTTGCCCAGGCAGCCTGGTGTCTCTCCTCCAATTCTGTCAAGTCCATGCTGAAATGGAATATTCTGGAAGAATCCTTGAAATTGCAGGTGTGTCCCCTTCCAGGAACCTCTAGACCTCTTCCTGATTATATTTTCTTCTCAGCACTTACTGCTATCTAACTTCTTACGTAAACAACTTGCTCTGTTTCCTCCCTAAAAGTCTTCATTAGGATATGGGTCATACAAGGACAGTTTTTTTTTTCCTAGAATAGCACCCAGTATATATTACACACTGTGTTTGTTTACCTAAAATGAACTTTCTTGTGAGAAGCAAGGTGGTATGGTGGGAGAGCTGTCGGTTTGGACTTTAAATTCCTGTTCTTCCACTCTTTAACCCTTGTAAATGATACTGGATCCTGCTCAGTTTCAATTTCCTCATGTGCAAAAAGTAAAGTAGACCAGTAACTAACTTGCAGCACTTGTGGGTGGTCTGTTGAGATGGTGAGGGAAGAAAAACACACCACCAGTGTCTTTTCACCACCTCTCCATGTGTATTTGCCACCCCCCTCCCACAAGAGTGGAGAGAAAACCTCCTTCTTTAAGATTCTTTTCTCTTCTTTTTTTTTTTTTTAAGATTTATTTATTTGTTTGAAAGTCAAAGTTACACAGAGAAAAGGAAAGGCAAAAAGAGAGAGAGAGAGAGAGTCTTCCATCCAATGGTTCACTCCCCAATTGGCTGCAATGGCTGGAGCTGTGCTGATCCGAAGTCAGGAGCCAGGAGCTTCCTCCAGGTCTCCCACATGGGTACAGGGGCCCAAGGACTTGGGCCATCTTCCACTGCTTTCCCAGGCCATAGCAGAGAGCTGGATCGGAAGTGGAGCAGCCGGGACTCGATCTGGCGCCCATGTGGGATGCCAGCACTGCAGGTGGCAGTTTTACCCGCTATGCCACAGCACTGGCCCTTAAGATTATTTTCTTAAAATTCCCAAAGAAGAACTCCAAAAGAATATCTTGGGTCATGTGACCCTCCCAGAGCCACTCCCTGTGCATAGAAGGACACACTGCTGTGCTTGGCCAGCTTGGGGTCTTGTTCTCATTCCCATAACCAGCGTGTGACAGAGCCAGTCCCCTGAAAAAAAAAAAAATGGATTCAGGGAAGAGTAATTCCCAGATGAAGGACCTTTAGTTTATAAAGAAGGAATAATGGAATGCTTTGGATTCAATAACAAGAAGTGTCAAAGACCAGAGAATATGCTAACTCCAAGAATGCAAGGAAGGGCAAACCATCCAAAGGCACCTGGATCTCAGTAACAAGTAGACCCAGGAACCTGGCCTCAGTGCACACTTTCTCTTTATTGTTATGTCTACTGCTTTGTGTGTTTTCTTCATTTTCTGTCACTGTAGTGTGAATTTCTTCACATGACGTAAAACATAATAGGAGTTAGTACCATTCCCACCAATGACTCATACCCTACTGTAGATGAATTTATATCACAGGCGATTTAGGCAACCCTGAGACACAGAAGACTTTGACTTTGTGTCTCTCATATTCTCCTTCTGTTCTTTTCTCCATCTCTGGAGTCATCTACCTCCTGTCTTAACCAGCTGTGGTATGTGACCTTATAGTTTACTATCCAAATCAGTACAATTTTAAGAATTAATGGAAGAGTTAATGTTAATTTTTCTGAAAACACAAAACATCAGGATCTCACTAAAATTATGACATATTTTCACCTTGCCTTTTAGCTTTATACTCCTTACTCTTTGAAGGGGTCTTATAAGAGAATATGTCCAAGGGTTTGTGGAAAAATGTAATCAAAAGGCAAGTTTATTGTGGTGGTGCAAAAATTTTGAAATCCACACATAATTTTTTGTATGCATTTTGCATGAACTTTTAGAAGACTCCTGTTATCTGTGGTGGAATGAGAAGGCCATGCCAAGATGGCCGCTGGCAAGCCAGCGTCAGTTACTCAGGAATGGCTTTGAAACTCACCTGGAAATGGAGCCTGCCTGGCAACAGGCTGTGATTGGATGGCTTTGAAACTCACATGGCAAACAGAGCCTGCCTAGCAACAGGCTTTGGAAACTGCCTGACAACAGGCTGTGATTGGTTGGGGCATAGACTGCCCCTTGACCGGATTGGCTGGTCTTGGCTATATAAGATGTTGTACCAACTGAAATAAACGAGTCTGCGGGCTGCTTGCCTCAAGCCTGCTTTCACCCGACTCACGGGGTCTGTGGTCTGTGTGGTGACTCCACGCCTCTTACCCCCACCACGCTCCTCCTCTCAGAAACGAATCCACTGCAACATTGTTGAGAAATCAACTACAACAGTTATCCATCTTTTTTTTTTTTTTTTTTTTGACAGGCAGAGTTGATAGTGAGAGAGAGAGACAGAGAGAAAGGTCTTCCTTTTGCCGTTGGTTCACCCTCCAATGGCCGCCACAGCTGGTGCACTGCGGCCTGCGCACCACGCTGATCCGAAGGCAGGAGCCAGGTGCTTCTCCTGGTCTCCCATGGGGTGCAAGGCCCAAGCACTTGGGCCATCCTCCACTGCCTTCCCTGGCCACAGCAGAGAGCTGGCCTGGAAGAGGGGCAACAGGGACAGAATCCGGCACCCCGACCGGGACTAGAACCCGGTGTGCCGGCGCCGCTAGGCGGAGGATTAGCCTATTGAGCCACGGCGCCGGCCAAGTTATCCATCATTTATGTCTGCATGAATCAAACTGCATTGTCATCCAGGTAAATTTTAAATATTAACTGACATATGAAAATAAATAATTTTGTTTCCTTTATAAAGGAGGTAAGGAGGGTTGCCTTCTACATATTTAACTTTACAATGTTTTAGAAAGATAACTCAGTGCTATTAATCAAAGGTGTTCCTACTGTGGTGTAAAGTTCTGTTGATTTTTTTTTAATTTGTCCTATTTGAGACCATAAATATAGCTGAATAAAGCCAGCCTGGAAACTGTGAGAGAAGTAATGTAAATTTCCCTGGCCAACCTCACAAGGTGCATTCAAAAAGCTTTTCTGGAACTGTGATTGTTGTATAATAAACTGTATAGATACAAAGTATACAATTTGATAAGTTTTACTCTATGCTCACAAGCAAGATAATAAACACATCTATTATTCCACAAAGATTTCGTGTACCTTTGTGATTCCACCATTCAAACCCTTTCCTGTCTTCCCGCACCCCAACACAGCCATTGAGCTTGTGTCTGCCACTCTGGAGTTTCCTTCTGCCTGAAGGAATTTTTTTTAATAGTATTTGTACTGTAGGTCTGATGATAATGAATGCTTTCTGCCTTTAGGGCTGAATATAGTCTTCATTTTGCCCTCATTTTAGAAAGATATTGAGGGAGAAGTAGGCCTGGTGGCACATCATTTTAAGCCACCAGTTGGGACACCCACATTCCATATTGGAGTACATGTATTGAGTCTTGGCTACCTCTCACTTCAGATCGGGCTTCCTGCTGATGTGCCCACGAGGTAGCTGATGATGGCCCAAGTACTAGGCTTCTTGCCACCCACATGGGATACCCAAATGATGTCTGGGTCCTGGTTTCTGCCTCGCCAAACCCTGGCTGTTGTGCAACTGAGGAGTGAATTAATGGATGGAAGATCTCTCTCCTCCTCCTCCTCATCTCCCTCCTCTGCCTCCTTCTTCCTCTTCTTCCTCGCTGTCTCCCTCCCTCTCTCATTCTCTCACTCACTTTGCCTTTAAGATAAATAAATAAATGAACATTTTTTAAAAAAAGATATTTTCACTGGGCATAGTATTCTAGATCTATGTCTAGATATTGTTTTTTGAATCTTAAAGATATTTCTACTAATTTGCAGAACTTACAACAATACATCTGCTGTTTTTATTATCTTTTTTCTTTCTTCTTTGCTTTTAAGATTTTCTTTTTAGCACTGGTTTTGAGCATTGTGACTATGATATACTTGCTGTAGTTTTCCCCATATAGTTTGTGCTTGAGGTTTATTAAACTTCTTGTATTTGTGCATTTATATTTTTTATCAAATGTTGATAATTGTCAACAATTATGTCTTTCCTCCCAGGAAAACCTAAGGGATAACATCCATGGGCCTTAATAAATGCATGGTCCCACAGGTTGTTTCTTGCTCCTCATCTACTGGTTGAGTTCTTGCTGCCTCCTAACTTGCCTTCAGCCTCTGCTTGAAACCCACTGGAACTGTGAGTACTAAATTTATTCTGTTTATACATTTGGTTTCATTCCCTCATTGTGTCTCACCTAACACACTTGCACCTACCTTTTCCCTAGTCAGGATTCTCCTAGAGTGGAGACCTTGGTTTATGACTTGAGAAAGGTCTCAAGTCCAAATTACAAGGAAATGATAGCAATGAAAATCCCAACAACTCAGGTGCTACAAACATTTAAAATACAGTAAGACAGACAAGCATTTGGCCTAGTGGTTGGGCTGTTGGTTGGTATGCCCACGTCAGGACTAACTGAATTCAGTCCCTGACTCCAGTTCTGGCTCCAGCTGCTGCAGGCACTTGGGGAATGAACCAATGTTCTCTCTCTCTCTCTCTCTCCCACTAAAGTAAATAAATAAAACATTTTAAGATTATTTTTAGATTTATTTGAAAGTCAGAGTTACACACAGAGAGAAGGAGAGGCAGATAAAAAGAGGTCTTTGATCTACTGGTTTACTCCCTAGTTGGCCGCAACAGCCGGAGCTGTGCCGATCTGAAGCCTGGAGCCAGGAGCTTTCTCAGGGTCTTCCCGTGCCGGTACAGGGGGTCAAGGACTTGGGCCATCCCCTATTGCTGTCCCAGGCCATAGCAGAGAGCCAGATTGGAAGTGGAACAGCTGGGACTCGAACTGGCTTCCATATGGGACGCCAGCACTGCAGGCGGTGGCTTTACCCACTATGCCACAGTGCCAGCCCCAAGATTATTTTTATAAGAGTTTAGTATATGATAAAGTTGACATTTTAATCAATGCAAAAAGGACAGATAGGTAATTTATATTGTGATACTTGATCATGTTCCTACCTCATTCTGTATATGTAAATAAGTACCAGAGATGTTAGGATTATATGAGTGGCCTCCAAAACATTCATGGAAAATGAAAAACTATGCATACATTTCAAATTTTTTATACCAAATAGACGTATCTTTAATTTCACTTGTCCATTTTTTTTTAACTTTTATTTAATGAATATAAATTTCCAAAGTATGGCTTATGGATTACAATGGCTTCCCCCTAACGTCCCTCCCACCCGCAACCCTCCCCTTTCCCATTCCATCTCCCCTTCCATTCACATGAGGATTCATTTTCAATTCTCTTTATATACAGAAGATCAGTTTAGTATACCTTAAGTAAGGATTTCAACAGTTTGCTCCCACACAGAAACATAAAGTGAAAAATAATAGATGATTTTTTAAATGATGATGAAATCAGATCAGACCTATTGTCATGTTTAATCCCAGTGAGAGTCAAGTTGGGAATTGATAATTTCTTCTTCTTCTTTTTTTTTTTTTTTTAACAGAAGATCAGTTTAGTATACATTAAGTAAGGATTTCAACAGTTTGCACCCCCATAGAAACACAAAGTGAAATATACTGTTTGAGTACTCGTTATAGCACTAAGCCTCAATGTACAGCACATTAAGGACAGAGATCCTACATGAGGAGTAAGTGCACAGTGATTCCTGTTGTTGACTTTACAAATTGACACTCCTGTTTATGGCATCAGTAATCTCCCTTTGCACCAGTCATGAGTTTCCAAGGCTATGGAAGCCCCTTGAGTTCTCCAACTCTTATCTTGTTTAGACCAGGTCATAGTCAAAGTGGAGGTTCTCTCCTCCCTTCAGAGAAAGGTACCTCCTTCTTTGAAGACCTGTTCTTTCCACTGGGATGTCACTCACAGAGATCTTTCATTTAGGGTTGTTTTTTTTTTTTTTCTTTTTTTTTTTTTGCCAGAGTGTCTTGGCTTTCCATGCCTGAAATACTCTCATGGGCTTTTCAGCCAGATCAGAATGCCTTTAGGGCTGATTCTGAGGCCAGAGTGCTGTTTATTTAGGACATCCGCCATTCTATGAGTCTGCTGAGTATCTTGCTTCCCATGTTGGATCACTCTCCCCTTTATTTATTCT